TAAGGCATCGTTTGACAAAGTAGATTTTTGAATAGTGTGTCAAAATGACAGTAAAGCTTGAATCACATATGATTTGTCATGAATGATAGGATGACAGTGTATAAATAAATAAATAGTATATAACGGGTGTTCAATTAAAAAAGTCATCAAGTTGTCTTTGATTCTTTGTAAATATTGTGAAGTATGTCTGTACCTAATTAATCTCAAATTTAATCGATGACAGCTGACAACGCGGAAATGTCAATTATATAGAGCAGTTTTCTATAAATTAATAAAACACATGCGTTTTTCTCTATGTTTTCTTCTATCAAAAGAGCAATGCCAACTTGATGACTCTTTTAATTGAACACCCGATATGAACGTGTTGAATGCCGTACTTTGTAAATTCTGAGCGTTGCACTTTGTACATTTTTAATGACGTACTTTATAAACCGCGTACGTTGTACTTTGTACATTTTGAACGCCGTACTTTTATAAATTTTGAACCCCGTGCCTCATAAACAATGGGCACCGTTCTTTGTACTATCGCACGCAAAAGTATTGTCGGTACCCAGCAGCGAGGGGTATCAAGCTTCTCCACTTTCTCTCTGGGAGTTGCTATAATTCCATAAACACTCAGGTGGAATAAAATGGACAAGTGTACTTGCTTGATTACAGAAATGGATTACACATTATCGTCTTCAGGTAGAAACTGTGTTGTAGTATCACACAATAAAATATGTTCAACTCAGAAAGTACTTTTCTTATGATAAAAATGAATCAATGGGGTTAAACAATTCGATTTTTCAGGTTTTTGATTTTTCGATTTGTTAATGTTTTGATTTTCGATTTTTCGAATTTTTTAATTTTACATTTTTCAAGTTTTCTTGCGATTTGTCGCCTTCTCATTTTTCCATTTTCCGGTTTTTTAATTTTTCGAAATTAATTTTTCAGTTTTTCGATGTTTCGATTTTTCACTTTTTCGGTTTATCAGTTTTTTTAGGTTAAAATTTTTCAGTTGTAAATATTCCCACTTTTTGATTTTTAGCCACTCCTATTTTTTGATTTTGCGATTTTTTAATTTTTACATTTCGATTTCTCAGTTTTTCGACAATAATTCATCTTTTCGATTTTCCAATTTTTCAAAGTTTGTTTTGGGATTTATGTTTAAATTTTTCGATTTTTCAATTTTTAGCGTTTATAAATTTTTCGATTTTTCAATCTCTCGATTAATCGCTTTTCTTATTTTTCGACTTTTTGATTTTTCGTCTTTCCGATTTCTCGATTTCCTAGATTTTCAACGTTTAAGTTTTGGGATTTTTCAGTATGTATTTCGATTTTTAAATTTTTACATTTTTCGACTTCCTTTTTTTTTATTTTTTACTTATTCGATTTTTCAAAATTTTGCCACTTTTTAGATCTTAGATTTTTGATTTTTTTTATTTTTCGATTCGTTGATTTGATTTCTCGATTTTGTAAATTTGCAATTTTTCGAATTTTTAAATTTTAGATTTTTCACTTTTTTGTTCTTTCGATTTCTCAGCCTTTCGATTTTTTACCTCTTCATTTTTAGATTTTTCGGAGTTAATTTTTTTCAGTTTTTCGATCTGGCAATTTCGATATCTCAATTTTTCGATTTTTCGACTTCACGATTTATCGATCATTTGATGTTTCGATTTCTCTGTTTAAATTTTGAGATTTTTCAAAATTTTGATTTTTAAATTTTTAGATTTTTCCACTTTTTGTTGTTTTTTATTTTTTACTTACTCGTTTTGTTTAGTTTTTAAATCTGACCTTTTTCAGCATTTTAATCTATTCGATATGTAAATTTTTGGATTTTTGAATTTTTTTGATTTTTAAAATTCTTGATTTTAGGAGCCCCTAAGATTCTGTAAAATTCTTTCCAAATAAAGAACTCCACGGATCCGCGAGATTTTCACAAGTATTTTAAAAACAAAATACAAGAAGCCCCGAAGATTTAAACACAAAAAATTGGTCCAAAGTTATTTAGATAGATCTTCCCTCGCGCCTGAAGTAAAAATATATTATCAGTATATGCTTAACTTCAATTGCTTATGTTTATGCATCGAAAGAATGCGACCATTAAGCACGTAGCAAATTGTCTCTCAAACCAGAGGAAGCGATTAAAATTATTAATTAAGCTCCAAACGTTCTGAATATTATTTTGGGTAAGTCGATGTTATGACAATTTTTATTTTATCATAATTAAATATAGGCGTGCACAACATTACTGTATTCTAAAATGTTCGAGGTCGGCGTCTTCCACAAACCAGTGCTTGTATATTTACGTAAAATGTGATAATCTAAAAACGAGAAGGAAATCGAAAATTGAAAAATCGAAATATCGAAAAACTGAAAAATTAGTTACGAAAGATTGAAAAGTCCAAAGACGAGAAGGCAAAAATTCCAAAGATTGAGAAATCGAAACAACAAAAATGTGCAAAATGTAAAATTTAAAAAATTCTAAAAACAGTGTGAACACTGTATGTACTTTGTAAATTTTGAACGTCGTACAGTATACATTTTTAACGCGGTAATTTATAAACGACCTTTAGAAGATCGTATGTCGTATTTTGTATATTCTAAAGGTCGTCCTTTACGCTGTACCTTACAAACGACGAAGTACTTACTTTATAAATTATTTTATTGTTCAAATTAGAATTATAATTTTAACTTTATATTATTGTATGTAGATTTCATTTTGAACGCCATACTTTGTAAACGACTTACGCTTCAATTTTAATTTTTGTTATGAAAAGGTTCTATATTTTGAAATTTAATGAAAGAGACAGTTTCTTTTATTCATCAGATCAACTCCATTTTCCCGAAATTTTGAAAATGTAGTATTGATATTATCAATATGACATTACACCTATTCAGATTCATTCATATGACCTCTCCAAAGTATTGATGACGTTATCACAAAAACTTTGTTATGGAAACACTCGCAAAATAACAGTTCAAAATTTTTCAAAGAAGCTAGATATGTTATATCAGCTGAAGTACAGGTGCCAGGAATATTCTGTCTAAAAAATTAACCAAATTAATTATCCAAAAGACCCTAACATTTACGCCATAATGTGGTGGTGCCCCATTCTGTTGGAACCAAATTCTGCTATCTAAATTTTGTAGATTATCTTCCAATGGTCTGTCAGAATCATCTTCTGATAGTTAATGGATGACTTGAACTTCACATGCATGCAGTTTCTCTTTTTTGAAAAACTTTACCACACACGACTGAGTAACATTTTCTTGTAAAGTCATTTTCGTCGTTGTTACATGGGGATTGTCTTCCAATGATAACAAGATATTCAACTTGATGTTATCGTTTATTTGTGGTCTTCCACATTTTGGAACATTTCTCACGTTTCCTGTTTGATTAAATTTTACAACAATTCAACTAACTGTGCTTCAAGCGATTGGAGGTCGTTCAAAATGTACTTCGTTGAACAAAGCACACACTTCTTCGTGTCTTCGAAACCTATCGCCATAACCAACATATTTGTTTACAAGTCACAAACTACCGGATTACATACAGCCAAAAAGTATTCTTTATTTTTTTAAACCAACTTAAGAAACTGACAAAAGCGATTCTCTTTGACAGATTTTTGTTTTAATTTTTAGTTATTTAGATTTGATTTTGTTCATGTTCATATCATGTTTATTTCGTTTGTTCTTCATTTTCTCCATTTTGCTGCGCTTTTTATGAATTTTGTGGATTGCTTTATCATACCCTGTATATGTGGCATTTATTATTTAACTTAAGTTTAGTTGATATTTTGGTGTCAGCTTTTTGTACTTTTTTTGAAATACATAATATCTTCTTATTTTAGTTTTTAACAACTTAGTTGCAATTATTAATTTACATAAAAGGAGAAAAAGCAGTGTTTGTGATTTCAAAAATTTCCGCATTTATGCTACGTAATTTACAAAACCAGTTTGGGTTTTTAAATGACGTCTATAACTTGTGCATAAATGAAAATATTAACTCTTTCGTTTCTAGTTTTAAGTTCTAAGTGCCTAATATTTTCTAGTGATAGCAGTGAAAAGCAGTGGAATGAATTACAATAAGCAGTATCTTTTGGAAATACTTTTCTAAAGCGATTTAGCTTCTACCCAGTAACGAATTTTACATTTTTGGTAATCATAATTCTAATTATTTTACTATTAAGACTGGAAAAATTCCACTCGGTTCATTTCTTTTTGCATCTGGAACGACTCGTGACGCACATTGTATTCGGCACATAAAGTCGATAAGTTAATGACAGTTGATACTTAAATCCTCATCTAAAAACACCTACAATACATTATTCTTACTATAAAATTTCCACCCAAACAGCAACCGGATTGGCTTCAGCTCTCAACGATGGAATTCCCTTTTAAAGTAGTTAGCTTCATATGAGTTTTATCACGTCAACCTTGTCGTATTTTTTGGGTTCTTATTTTCAATCGGAGGACATCGACGACAAGATAATGAAGAGGACCTTAACTCGCAGGAGCAGTAAGAGATTTGTCATAGGTGACGAAGATGAAGAACTTGGTTCTCCTGAGATTGAAATTACAATTGCTGAAGCCGTCGATACCGACAACAATGAAAATATACAAAACAGCGAATGGCTGGCTGAGTCTTCGAGACTCAAGCCGGGAGCCACGCTTACGTAAGTAAAGAAAAAACGTCCATACAAACAATTAGTATTGTTGTTAGCTGTAATTACGGAAAAATGTATTATTTCGCTATAATTGACCAAAAATAAATAATAAAAAAACTAAACACACCGACACAAAAAAAATAAATTTGTTTATTTCAAGTATTTATTCTACAGTGTTACATGATGAGCTCTTCGTCTTCCTACAAACAAGTCTTGTTTAGTCATTAGTCAGATTAGTAAATACCTCTTGTATAATTTTTGAAAAAAAAAACTTCTGTAAATGTCAAATTTTTTACCCAATTTGAGGTTATGTGTTTATTTCAAACGAACGACATTTATTTCTTTTTTAAGGCCAAGCATGTCTCAGGGAACTGTTATGTTACAAAATCGTCTGCAAGAGAAGGATTTCACTGTCGCCACACCCGAGGAATTCGTTAAACGTTTCAATGGGACCAAAGTTATTAATAAGGTAGGTGGAGTGTTGTTTATTTCCTCATAGGGTTCACCAAATCAACACGCAGACACAAACTAATTCCGTGTTTCCTGACTTGGTGGAAAAGAAACACAAAATGTGTTTGTTTCATCCTTTAGGACATTTTATGTATAAAGTCACTGGAATGAGAATCAGAGAAATCAGATTTCATATTTCAAAAAACGTGAACAACGCTAGTTTTACTAGCAAAAGTTCCATTATTGCCTATGTAACAGTGTGGGCAATTCTTCAAGACAAAGTATAGAATGAGGACCATAATGATAATACTGTGAGAAAAAAGTAGTTTCCTCCCCCTAAAGTCACAAGTGGATACGTCCGGGCGCTTTTACGTCTACTGAGACGTTTTATAAACGTATCTCGACTTTTGGTTCTTTCATCCGCTAGGAGTGCAGCTGGATGAGAAGTTGTTTGTGTACAGACATGAACTACCAGTAATAAAACAGAAATTTATATGATGCGATCATTAATAATATTACAAGGAGTTCCTCTAGTCGTGAAAAAATATTTATAAAATATTTTGAACAACAATTTGTTTTTCAAATTCCGTCCTTCAAACTTCAATGCTGATATTGTTTTATTGACTTTTTTTTCAATTATAATGGTGACTACATTTTTTTATTTGGTTTAATACAAAGCTTGTACCTTCGTATACAGCAAGGACAAATTCAATATCGTTGGTGTCAACAGTCTAACAATAGACACTGAGCTTTATCGACACGTGGAAGAACATTTTTATACTAAATAGTTGAAATATCACCGATTTCTAGAGTCAACGAAGACAGCGAGTCGGCGATAAAAAAACAGACTAAATTTGCTAAAAACGAAACAACGAGAAGATTATGAAAAATAAGAGAAAGAAAATGCACAAATTCTGGAAGAACTAGAAGAGGTAATAAATAAACTGAAACAAAATAACGTGACAGGGCCGAGTAATATTACTAAGATAATACCAATGCATCAAAAGCAGCTCGAAAACATACGAGTATGTGCAAACTATAAAGGAATTCCACTGTTAAATCCGGTGTACACAATTCTAAAAACTTTCGTAGAGAAATGTTAATATGTCAATCATTGATTTCAAACAAGCTTTCCATATCCTGAAGAGGAGTGTTATAAACCAAGATGTGAGGAAGATAGAATTCCAGACAAATTAAAAAAGCTAGCAATAATGATAATAAAGAATTCAAAAACGTCAGTAAATAGGTAAACGAGGAGAGTGTTAAAGGCCTGAAAGTTGAAAGGAGGAATAAAGATGTTTGATATGCAGATAAAGACATTATGCTGACAATACTGACGAAAAATATTAGAAGTCTGAAAAATGCCCCTGAAGAGCAATACCAAGTGTTCCAGCGTACCTGTTTCACTCAATATCTCAATTATTTTAAAACAAAAAATTGAAATTTGGCATGTTCAATATATGTAACACAGTCTATTAAATGGATAGATTACTGCCAGTGTTGGGCAGTATCTAGATACTTGTATCTAAATAAAGTATCTAGATACATTTTTGGGTATCTAGTATCTGTATCTAGATAAAATCGAATTTAAGCACAAAATATCTGTATCTAGATACAAAATTAATGGCGCAGATACAGATAAATTTTTTTATTTCACTTTTTTTTCAGTCGGGGCAATGCATTTTATCTGTGTACCTGAGCAACCCGGGTCCGGTAGGCCCGCTGGTTGTATTTATGTTATTAAACAAGAGTAATTTTAATAGTAAAAATTTTTGTTTAAGGTATGTTATTATTTTTAGAAAATAATAATTGCGTGTTACATAATGATTAATTTTTTTCAATTAGCACAAATTAGTTTTCTTATCGACTAATCGAATGTTCAATACATACATTTCTCTCGCATAAATCGCATATTTGTTACTGTTTTATATCTTTATTTTTCAGACAAATGTAGCATCTTTTCCTCTTGCCACATGTGTCATTTCTTCACTTTTTCATTGTTGGATCTAACGCGAGGCGGCCTTGGCAGGTCCGTTTTGCGCTAGAATGTGCCGATTATGTTTAAGTGTAAATCTTGGGTAATAAAATTAATATTTTTACAACCCTCGGTAGAATCATTTATCGTGATATATTCTCCGAAATCGTGAAACGAGGAAAAAATAAAATGAGTTTCAACAAAAATCTGAAAATTTAAAGTTGCACTCTGGTGATTCCGGCCTGCCAGGCAGCCTTTGATCCTATAAGGGGTTTAAATACCTTTCTAAGAAATTGTACTTATTTTGCCTTAAACGGAATCAGCAATTCTTCCTAAAATGTATATACCTGCCACACCGGGATAGACGATTACCGGACATGGTCATAAAAACATCGTAAGCCGATATTGAAGAACAATAATTTATGACAGTTTGCCGACAACAGACCTTCAGCACAGAATAATCATTTCCCGTATTCTTTTGAAATATTAATTTTAATGCTGGAGATAATTATTAGATATACTCAAACACAATTTGGACACTGTAGTATGGGAATAAAAACAAAAAAAAAATATTCTTTTTAAAGGTACGTAATAAATATTGCACAATTTGCGACGCAGCAAACAGCGAAGCGATGGCCTATTTGCAGGAAAAAAAAAGATTTTTCAGTCTTGAATAATTATGCTACAGTAAAATTCCTTCTTCTGCACCTGTGGAACGAGTGTTTAGTAGCGGAAACCAAATTCCAAGAAGAAATAATTTAGGTGACAATACGTTCGAAATGTTGTTCATTTTAAAAAATTCATTTAACAATACATAAAAAAATACATGTTTTCAGTTAGTTTATTCGCCAAAGCTTCAAAAAGTATCTGTTTCCTTGTATCTGTTATCTAGATACATTTCGAAAAAATCGAAAACAATCTGTAGCTAGATGCTTTTGTCTTCCATATATCTATATCTGTATCTAGATATTTTTAAAAGTATATGTCCCCAACACTGATTACTGCCGTCGTATTAGTTTCAGTTTCCCCGGGAATGACATCAATTTTGTCAATTCACAATTCCATTATTGTTAAAACGAATTTCATCTTACCATAAAATATTACTTATGATACCCTCATCACGTGCCTTCGTTAGCCAACCAATAAAAGCCAAGCTTCTTTCAAAATCAAATGGTACTAAAGCTTGATTCATGATATTTGGCCGTTTTTAAAATTCTTTGTATAGAAGATATGATATGTTCATCTGTTGCCGTTTTGTGCGTTTCTTTTTGAGAGACCCAGATTGTTTTAACTTTTTTTCTAATTTTGCGAAATACATACAACTTGATTGTTGTCTCTCGGGAAATCTTTCTTCGTATAATGTTCTGGATTGTCTTCTACTTCGCTTACACTCTCCGTAAATCACTATCATATCTAACTTTTCGGCATTGCTGAATCTTTCGTTTTCCATTTTTTGACGCTACAATATTTTATTTATTTTAATCTAGAAGTGACAAGCCAGAACACGAAAATAAGAGGAAACGTTGCTTGAGAAACGCCACCGCATTTTTTTTTTTTTTAATTCACACGCTTTATAATATTTCTAGATGAATACTGTTATATTGAGTCATACATTATTGAAAAGAGAAAAAAATGCTCTATTTTATAATACTACAAACTGTACTTATTTAGATTTAGAAAAGTTAATGTCACTTCCGATGAAACTAAAGCTGATACGACGCCAGTAATCTAGTTATGTAATAGATTGTATTACATATATTGAATATGCCAATTTCAAATTTTTCTGTTTAAAAATAATGGAGATATTTGAGTGAAACAGAGACGCTGGGACACCCGGTATATACAATACCGGTCACAGTGTAAGAACAAAATCCCCAGGAGGGAATAGAAGCCACAACCTTCGGGTTATTAGCATACGGCCATCTCCAGAAGTCACATTCACATCGTGTGGGTTGGCGATTTTTACGGGAGCGGTTGCTCGGGTGCCATCTCCCTCTTCGGAGAACATCTGGAGTACTTTATCCGGAGAAATGGATCTCCAATGGGTCTCGTAAACGTCCGCACAAAATAAAAGACAATACTCCGCTTAAAATTAAAAATATTTGGCCTTTATTCTCTGCCACCAGTATAAAATCTAGATAAGAAAACTAACCAAAAAAACTGTGACCTCCCTGACGGCACCTCGTCACTACTGCGGTTCCTGGAGAGGTGACAACGCTGAAATGGGAACGGTATTCCGGAAGGGGGTCGCACAATGGCGGTTACGGTGGAACTAACTAGTTCGCTGAAGTCCAGGAATTATATCGCCGGGACCAGAAGACGTGCGACGGCTTTAGTAGGGATATGCGTCCCGAAGGGAACCCTGAGTTTCTGGCCTTTCGGACGAACATCTTCGGAGGGAAGTCCATAAGTTACCGGGGCGATGGTTTCCTCGGAGAAGGTTCAAGTTCAAGGTGGGTACTGCGCCTGGACCAGATGGCGGCACTGCTGCCCAATAGAATTCCGTCCCTGTTGAGGTGGCGGCTATCTTATTCGACATCCTTCCTGGTGATCTCACTCGATCACGGACGGTATTTATCCAGAACATGGATAATCCGCAAACACCTGCGGACTACAGGCCTATTTCCATCGGGTCTGTAGTAATACAGCACTTCTACAAGGTTCTCGCGTCCAGGATGCGACAACATTCGACACTGTCTCGCACCTTGCCATAATAGCCTCCTGCGAGCGGGCTGGCGTACCGTCTCCATTCGTGGAGTACGTCCGGTCTTTATATGGGAATGCCTCAACGGTCCTGGAGGTTAGAGGCCGTGAAGGAGTGCCGGTGACCGTTCGCTTGGAGTGAAGTAGGGAGATCCGCTATCTCTATTGCTATCCAACCTGGTCCTCGACCAGGCTGTGAGGAGTTTCCCCCTACGTTGGTTTTCGGGTGAGTGATGCAACCGTGCGTGATGTTGTTCTCGTCTCCTCCACGGTCTTTAGCCTCCAGAGTAATCTGGAAGTGCTGGACGCTGAGGTCCACCGAGCTGGCCTTTTAGTTAACCTGGGCAAATGCTGTGCTGTTTCTCTGGTGGCCTCAGTTCATGATCATAAGGTCAAAGTCATCACTCAACCCTCTTTTAGAGGCGCAAGTGGCCCAACAACATCTTTGAAGCTATCTGGGGACTCAGTTCCGGAATTGTAGTGTGGCAGGATGCACGCTAGCGGATGTTGCCCAGAAATTGAGCAGAATTTCTCGTGCCCCCCTCAAATCTCAGCAGCGCATGCATTTGGTTAGGACCTACCTTTTGCCGAAGTATTTCCATGCTTGGAGTTTTGGACGTCTTAATGTGGATGCATTGCGTCGATAAGATCGGCTGGTTAGGGGAAATGTCCGTCGGTGGCTAGCGCTACCCCGTAATACGCCGATGGGATATTTTAATGCTCCCATAAGATCGGATGGTTTAGGAGTCTTGCAGCACGCTTCATTCCGCTGCTGCGTTTAAGGCACTTCGGTCGTTTTGGTCGAAGCCCTGTTGACTACATCGCGGAGTGCTCGAGAACCGATATAGCTGAACTGAAAATTCAGCGGCTCAGTGGGGTGGTCGACAGGATGGAGGTCGGAACTGAGAGACTGAATGCGTTTTGGACCGATCAATTGCATCAGATGGGAGAGCGCAGTGGCTCCGCTGTGTAAGCCGGGCTATTCCCGCTAGGGACTGGCTGCATTACAATTAGTTCCATATAAACGCGCTACCGTCTCGTGTTCACAATAGTCGAGGTCGGCGGGAGAACATGGATATAATGTGTAGGGCAGGGTGGTGTGGGAGACCCAAGACTCCTGAGCATTGTATCCAGGTTTGTCATCGGACCCACGGAGATCGGCTTTTACGTCACGACGCGTTGGTTCAAGTCCTCACGGAAGATCTCCAGACAAGGGAACTTCGTGTTCCTACAGGTGTGGGAGTTCGGCAGCCTGGCTTGGTCGTTGTTCGAAGGGGAAGAGGATATACAACGGTAGTTGGTAGAGGGGGGGGGTCCTTGTGGGTAAAAACCAGTAGATATCTAAAAATAAAAATAAACAAGTTGGTCCTCAGACAAAATACGCAGCAGATAGTAAGAAAAGTCTGTAGCCCGAAGAAGTTAAGAGGCGTAGAATACTAACAGAGAGATCGAAGACATTCTAAATGGAAAATATACAGTATGAGCTATCAAGACGCAATGACTGACGTGGTATTACCACAGTAATGAAATGTAGTGGAAACCGAAAATAACAGACCTAATGGGAGACCAATTATTGCATTTATATTTTTGGGGTAATAAATTTAAAGCAAAGGTTATTGTTGATTCCAGGTCCAGGAGTATTGCAGAAAGCTCAAAAGATTAACAACCTTAATTGATATTTTTATATGGCTGTCTGTTTACAAAACGCGATCAATATCATACGTAGTCAACATGAGCAGCCATTTACCTATATGTAATATATTTTTTAATAGTTGGAGGAACAGCTAAATTACAGCTAAAATAACAACATTAAGAATTTTTTAAGATAGAATGACCGTTACCTAAATTAATAAGATGTACTCATCTAAAAGAAAAAACTCATTACACTTTTCTTTACTATTTTAGGTACTGATTGCTAATAATGGAATTGCTGCTGTCAAATGCATGCGTTCGGTTCGTCGCTGGTCATACGAGATGTTCAAAAACGAAAGGGGAGTTCGCTTCGTCGTCATGGTAACACCAGAAGATCTAAAAGCCAACGCTGAATATATCAAAATGGCGGACCACTACGTTCCTGTACCCGGAGGGACCAACAACAACAATTACGCTAACGTCGAACTGATCGTAGACATCGCCACCAGACTCCAAGTACAGGTTTGTGTACCCATCCTCCACCCTTTGCACGCAATTTCTTTATAAAATTAAATATCTAGGCTGTGTGGGCTGGTTGGGGCCACGCTTCTGAAAATCCCAAACTGCCCGAACTTCTACACAAAAACGGCATAGCTTTCATCGGCCCACCCGACAAAGCTATGTGGGCATTGGGTGACAAAATTGCCTCTTCGATAGTCGCTCAAACGGCTGATATTCCAACACTGCCATGGTCGGGCTCCGGTAAGTTCTCCCTACAAACTTCTAGATCGAACCCTATTTCTTGTTTGTGACAGATTTGAAGGCCCAATACACAGGAAAGAAAATCAAGATATCATCAGAACTCTTCGCCAGAGGATGTGTTCAAACGGTCGAACAAGGTCTCGCCGCAGCCCAGAAGATCGGCTTTCCTGTGATGATCAAAGCTTCCGAAGGCGGAGGCGGCAAAGGTATCCGCAAAGTAGAAAACGCCGACGACTTCCCCGCCGCTTTCCGCCAAGTACAAACCGAAATTCCCGGTTCGCCGATCTTCGTGATGAAGTTAGCCAAATGCGCCCGCCATCTCGAAGTTCAACTCTTAGCCGATCAGTACGGCAACGCGATTTCGCTGTTCGGCCGCGACTGCTCCATCCAAAGACGACACCAAAAAATCATCGAAGAAGCCCCGGCTGTGATCGCGGCGGCCTCAGTTTTCGAAGACATGGAAAAGGCGGCTGTGCGTTTGGCCAAAATGGTGGGGTACGTCTCGGCGGGAACCGTGGAGTACCTTTACGACACCTCAGGCCACTACTACTTCCTGGAGTTGAACCCGAGGCTTCAAGTGGAACACCCTTGCACGGAGATGGTGTCGGACGTGAATTTGCCAGCAGCGCAGCTACAAATCGCGATGGGGCTGCCGCTGCACTACATAAAAGACATCCGGTTGCTGTATGGAGAGTCTCCGTGGGGCAACTCGGAGATCGATTTCGATAAACCGAGGCATAAGCCTCAACCGTGGGGGCACGTGATTGCCGCTCGCATTACTTCGGAGAATCCGGATGAAGGGTTCAAGCCGAGTTCGGGCACGGTACAAGAACTTAATTTTCGGTCGTCGAAAAACGTGTGGGGGTATTTTTCGGTGGCGGCGTCGGGTGGGTTGCACGAGTTTGCGGATTCGCAGTTTGGACACTGTTTTTCGTGGGGTGAGAATAGGGAGCAGGCTAGGGAGAATCTGGTTATTGCGTTGAAGGAGCTGTCGATTAGAGGGGACTTCCGGACTACCGTGGAATATCTGATCACGCTATTGGAGACCAAAAGCTTCCAGGTAAGTTGAGCGCCATTCGTGTCATAACTCATTAAACTCATTAAAATTATTGAAGACCGGTAAATATAACATTACAAGGTACATCGGAACCTACATATTAAACGTATTGTCTCACTTGCCTCAAAGGACAAGCCGCCCCTTAATAATTGCCATAAAAATATTGATAGATACATTGTTATAGGGCAAGGTTGTGTCTGTAATTCTAGTAGTTTTCCCATTTGAAGATGTTCCAGTCAACATTATTTCAGCAAGGACACGTGTGGCAATTGGGACACGTGCAGTATAATACTAATAAGAAAACAGTAGGGTGTAGGATTCTTGAAATTAAAATAAAAAAACCACAAGAAAAACAAGACCTGGAATGCCATGACACATAAAAACAATTTATGTTCAACGTCATAGGCCATAACTTGGGTGCTTTAAAAACAAACTATCACCCATGTGTGATAAACAATATGTAATAGATACGTTGTTTGTACTTTCATGGTGAAAAATTACAATGTCGAACATGTGGTTTAGTAACTGAATTTGAAATGTAAATGATGAGTATTAAAGACCTGAATAAATGAAAGTTATATTAAAGATTCAACTATTCGTGTCACGTAGAAAACCTGTCCATTATCAGATCATTTAACCTCTTTCAGTGTAACACGTTTCTCTGATTTAACCATGTTCGATCATCTTACGTCGTGTCGCCTATAAATGCTTATCGTGCCATGTAATAATTATGTACAAGGAAAATATTTTTTTTTATCAAAGGACACTTTTTAATGAAAAAAAACCGAATGTCGAAATAGGTCGATGGATTTTTATTTCGCTAATTTATTCCAAATTGAAAATATTAAGAATACATAGGTATGCATGGAAAATAACCAAAAGAAGAAAACATAGTATTAAAAAGATGCAAATTAATGAGATTTAATTTATTCAAATTAAAACCTATGAAATAATGGGTATTGACACCTTATTTTCAGTGGCGGCTCGTGACCTTTTGAAATGGGGGGACACAATTTGATTGATGAGTTAAATATGAAAATAAAAAACGGCTGTTATTACCAATTAATAGACGAATCTGTGTGACGGAAATAAATACAAAAATACAGTCAATAAAAGTAAAAAAGTACGTGTCCACATACCTTTGGTTTTAATTCATTACTGTGGAGACACACAAAACAGTTTATTATTTTTTTCAGAACCTGTTGAAGTATCTATGAACGCTTGTGGCTCTCCCTAAATTTTTCACTACAATTTTATCATTTGAAACTCGACGAATTTAATTTCTTAGTAATTTCTCAAGCAAGTGAAAATGTATGTTTTTAGTGTTATTAGAGTCCGGAAGAATTGTGCGAGTTTCTTATTTTTAAAAACTAGAATTATTATGTAATAGAACAATAATAAAGAAGCCTTGAACATGTTATCGCTAAATTATAGCCTTTGTAATGACTAAATGAATACAACTCACTTTACCTAAACCGTTACTTGCAAAAATTAGTGGAATTGTTAGGTTTTTTACACCGGTTTTTAATTATAGGAATCTTCACCACTGATTTATGTCATGTAGAACTGTCCGAGCTGGTTAGAGACCAAGGATTACGCTTTAATCGTGGCTTGTGGAAAAATTATTTGAAGCAGTCTGACAGAACTCGTTTAAGGCTATAATTTAAAATTATTTTAAAGATACAGGGTGTTGGGTTTTTAAAGTTGCACATGAAAAATGATGTTCTGACTTTTCCACGTGTGCATTTTCTATTAAAAATTGTCTAGTCTTGACATACTTTTGATTAACGCTTTTACTATATGATATTCCTAAAATATCTATAAAATCTGACAACAATCAGTCCGGTAGTTTTAACTAGCGTTAAAGTTAATGTGTTGAGATCCATTGTTGCTCAGTGATATTTAATACATATAATAAATTTGGTTTAGTCTTATGAACTTAAATGGACTTAAATAAATTCAGAAGACTAAGCCAAATTTATTAGGTATATTAATAATTCCAGCACCTGCTCCAAATATATTTTTTGTCATACACCCATTGGAATTTTGAAAAACATGGGTTATACATATAAAATTGAAAATAGTAAACATAATGTAATGGAAAAACTCATGATATAATAATTCTTTAGGTATGATACTCGTGCGGCTCAAAATTAAACCAGCTCGCGCAGTGACGTCACTCGGTGAGTAGAACTAGTGGAATTCAGCATAAAAGCACGAAGAATCGCTAATATTTTTTTAATTTTATTGTTATAATTCGTTATGTACTTAAAAAAAATGTGTTGCACAACCTCTATATTATAATATAATAATTATAGTGCTGCATTAAACAACCTGAAAACTAAATTTACGTCAATGACCTGAATTAAATTGTAAAAACGAATTTAACGGAGTTTGATACGTATTTCTATTGTGTGTAACAAATTAAAATTTCGCGTTTAATATTATTTTTCGTGTACTCAATAGAAAAGTGCGGCTTTAATGGGGAGATAATTATAAAAAAAAGTGCTATTTTTCTGGTTAGTAGCGCACAGGTTATCTGAAAATGCCAAGATCTTCAGAATTATCCATTTTTTGCTTTTTTAGGTTTTTATTATTGATTATCATGAACAGACTCGTTGTTATGGTAATTGTGCACATTTAACGTGAACATAATTATCCTCAACAGAAATCTACTTTAGAAATTCTGTTCTAAACTTTCAAAAACTGAGTACAAGAAAAAGTAATCACTAAAAATAAATACATTGTACTATTGAACTGTAATCTACATCTTAATTAACAATTTTTCTTGGAGTGAAAATTGTTTTCATAGCTTGATTTTCGTCAAGCTATGAAAACAAGTTCGTCGTTTTGTTTTTAAGATAAGCAATTTTTGCTTCTAGATCTTCTCTCTGTATTTCTTGATCTGTATTTGTACTATGTAAAAAAACATAATTAAATATTGGATATACTAGGTACGTCTTCAAATAATCGTTTCCTTTGAGAAAGAAATATACATCATACAAAAAAAAAACGTACAAACTTAAAAGTTATTCTTCAAAAAAAAGCACTTTCCTTAAATACAATAAATAATGTTCAATATATCCAACAGATTTACTTGTAGATTCTGTTATATCATCCAAAGCAGCACTTGCGTTATAAACATTTTTTGTAATTGAATTTGTTTGATTTATATCAATATTCAAGTAAAATAACCTACTTAATTTCTATGATTTTATCCCTAGAACAAATTTCTATAACTAACTTGGCTGATCTCCAGACTTTAGTTTTTTTTCCTTTTTTAGGAAGATAATTCAGAAGTTCGTGTTGTAAATTTCGTTCGAAATCGTCTTCACTAAAATGCTGTGAACACACTCTTGCATTTTTTACTATACAAGAGTCCGAATGACAACAAGAAATAACCCATACTTGTCCCTTGGAAACGAATAAAATTGTATGTCTTTTTGAAAATGTCTTGACTGTTTATCGCTATTACACCCAAAAACGCCACAACGCATCGTTGTGACTTTATAAAATTATTAAAACATAACGTATAGCCACTAAACCTTCTAAAAAATACGTGGAAGACAGAAAAACGTCGCAGAATACGCGCGAAATGCCTGTGTTTACTCACCGAGTGACGTCACTCCCCCACTCCGTACGTGCGCAATATCATACCTAGTATTTATTGTATCATGGGAAAAACTGTACATTGCAGCACAAAGAATTATGTTTCTAAAAAAAATATGCAGAATATGTCAATTTCGTTTACTTAGACGCAACATGAATTTTTAAAAATCGGAGCCAAATTCGCCAATGGACATTGTGACATAGCCCAGATATACCGAAAAAATTTGACAGATGAACAAAATTTTTAAACTTGCCTCTAACCTGTCTGTAAACTATGGTTTATGAATCCGCCTCGATATATTAATTTATGCGGGTTACTATAAAAGAAGTTCGCAAATCAAATTTGATAATTTATATAAGAAACTGGAAGCTGTATTTCTTCGAATAGACTAAATAAAATTCCCAACCTCAACATTTAAAGCAAGTTCAGAGGATATTTTTATACCAAATTTAAGTCGTTTCGACTGAAAGCCAGGTTGGCCGTGTGAACTGAGACTCTAGACTCAGAACTGGTTCAGGAAAACGAGCGAAGGTTCGAATCCTGCACCTGGCACTATAAATCAAATTACCAACATTTAAAATAAAAAAACAGTAGCTCTAGAACATCGAGAATAATAATTAGGCCTGAAACAAACTATAAACCTTGGAACAAAATATTGAAACCCCCGTTTTTCAAGTTCCCGAGGGTATGAATTTGACGTTCAGATAATTAGGTGTATCGAACATGTTTATTCATTGTTTACCATCAACACAAATTTAACATTGAAATTATACAAAAATATAAACCTTGTTTTGATGTTTTGGTTAAACCAATATACATGAACGAAAACCAACAATTCTCACCTACACAACCTACCTCAAATAACATATTCCTACACAAAATAGTATGCACTGGGTCAAGGTTACCTACCAAGTGGACTATCATGGCACTCGTTAATATTGTTATTATTACAAATAGCAAAATACTTTATGCTTTACCCGAAAAACTTGAGAAAACTGACAATTTTCAATTGTAATCAGTAGTACTTAATTGTTTACAAGTAGTAAAAGCAAGGTGACTAAAAAAAATTACCTCTTTTAATACTGGTGGTGAATTTTTAAACATGACCGCATTTTTACATCAATCTGATGAATCATTTTTTCTTTTGTATGGTGGCAAATTTAAATTATGGCAGTCTAGGAATCAGCAAGCTAGCTGCAGTGAGCGTTATAACGAAAGCGGAGGAAAACCAGCGAAGGTTCGAATCCTGCACCTGGCACTGTAAACCAGATTACCAGTATTCAGAAAAAACAAAAGCTTTAGAACGGCGCCATCGAGAATAAATGTTCGAATTCAAGACACAAAAATATTATTAAACCTACAAGACAATAATTAGGCCTGAAATAAACTATTAAATATATAACAAAATATTAAGGCCCCCGTTTTTCGAGTCCACGAGGGTATGAATTTGACTGATGGAAATTTCAATTAATCCTGCCTTATTTTGTTAAGTAACATTTTCATATCAGTTTATCTTTTAAATGTGCTTGATATTCATTTCTTTTAGTCCCTCCTTTAATGTCTCAAATACCACAACCCTTACATTTTCACACAGGAAAACACCATAGACACTGCCTGGTTAGACATCCTCATCAGCGAAAAAGTCGAATCCGAAAAACCCAACGTCATGTTAGGCGTCATTTGCGGCTCCTTGCACATAGCAGACAAAACAGTCAGCACCGCCTTCCAAGAATTCCAAAACTCCCTCGAACGAGGACAAATCCAAGGCTCCAACACTCTGACCAACGTCGTCGACGTCGAACTAATCCACGGCGGAAACAAATACAAAGTCCAAGCCACAAAAAGTGGCCCAAACACCTATTTCTTGATGATGAACGGCACTTTCAAAGAAATCGAAGTGCACAGATTGAGCGACGGAGGAATCCTGCTTTCCGTCGACGGCTCCTCGTTCACAACATACATGAAAGAAGAAGTCGATCGTTACCGGATCGTCATAGGCAACCAAACCTGTGTCTTCGAAAAGGAGAACGATCCCACAATTCTGCGCTCACCGTCAGCCGGAAAACTCCTAAGTTTCCTAGTTGAAGACGGCGGCCACGTTGAAAAAGGACAAGCGTACGCGGAAATCGAGGTGATGAAGATGGTCATGACGTTGACGGCAGGCGAGAGCGGGATCGTCTTCTACGTGAAGCGACCAGGAGCGGTTTTGGAAGCGGGGTCGATTATAGCGTCCCTAGAGCTCGATGATGCGTCGCTGGTCACGAAAGCGTCGCCTTACAAAGGACCGTTTCCGGAGTTGGACGTCTCGCAGCCGATAGTTTCGGAAAAGCTGAACCATATTCATAATAGTTATAAAGCTATTCTTGAGAATACGCTAGCTGGGTATTGTTTGCCCGATCCTTACAACGCGCCACGTTTGAGGGAAGTTATCGAGAAGTTCATGTCGAGTTTGAGGGATCCGAGTCTGCCACTGTTGGAACTGCAGCAAGTAATGGCGTCTATCTCTGGTAGGATTCCTCTGGCTGTCGAGAAGAAAATCCGGCGCTTAATGAGTTTGTACGAAAGGAATATTACGAGTGTGTTGGCACAGTTCCCCAGTCAACAAATAGCCAGTGTGATTGATAGTCACGCCGCTAATATGCAGAAACGTACAGAGAGAGACGGTTTCTTCTTAGCAACTGAAGGAATAGTTCAGTTGGTGCAGCGTTACCGCAATGGAATCCGCGGACGCATGAAGGTGGCAGTCCAAGAACTGTTAAGACAATACTACGACGTCGAAAGTCAATTTCAACAAGGTTCTTATGATAAGTGTGTAGCTTTGTTGCGCGAGAAGCACAAAGACGATATGCAAGTAGTCTTAGCTACAATATTTTCACACGCGCAAGTAGCCAAGAAGAACTTGCTCATTACAATGTTGATTGATCACCTTTGGTCCAACGAACCCGGTTTAACCGATGAATTAGCACCGGCCCTAACCGAACTGACTTCGTTGAACCGAAGCGAACACTCACGAGTGGCATTGCGAGCCCGACAAGTACTCATAGCAGCCCATCAACCGGCATACGAGCTTAGACACAACCAAATGGAGAGTATTTTCTTATCAGCCGTGGATATGTACGGACACGAATTCCACCCAGAGAATCTACAAAAACTGATAGTGTCAGAAACGTCGATCTTCGATATTTTGCACGACTTTTTCTACCATCCGAATAGAGCCGTGTGTAACGCCGCGTTGGAAGTATACGTGAGACGAGCATACACGAGCTACGACATCACGTGTCTGCAACACTTAGAACTAAGCGGCGAGGTACCACTAGTGCACTTCCAATTCCTGCTGCCCCCGAATCACCCCAACAGATTAATCAAAATCGACGATTTTAAAGAAAACCTAGATGAAGGACCCAGAATCGTGGATACGTTTCAAAGGACCGGGTGTATGGCAGCGTTTGAAAACTTCCAAGAATTTGAACAGTACGCCGATGAAATTCTTGATTTGATTGAAGATTTTGCCAACCCGGCCACTATTTCGGTTAAGGATTTGATTGCTGTGGAGAGCGGGTCCGAGTCGAGGAACAGTACGTCGATTAATGTGAGTCTGTCGCTTGACGGGCAGAGATCGTACACCGAAGACACCTGCTTGCACGAACCTATCCATATCTTACACGTGGGTATCAAAGACAAAGGAGATACCGACGATGCTGCTATGAGTAGAATTTTTAGTAGTTTCTTTGTACGTCACAAGGAAGAACTCATCAGTAGAGGGATGAGACGCATCACTTTCGCGGCACTCAAGCACAAACAATCACCCAAGTTCTTTACCTTCCGAGCACGCGATGACTTTAAAGAAGACAAGATCTATAGACACCTCGAACCAGCATGTGCCTTCCAGTTGGAATTGAATCGAATGAGAAATTACAATCTCGAAGCGTTACCTACGTCGAATCAAAAGATGCATCTGTATTTGGGTAAAGCTAAAGGTATCAAGGGGAAAGAAGTGACGGACTATAGGTTCTTCATCAGAAGCATTATTAGACATTCCGATTTGATAACAAAGGAGGCTTCTTTTGAGTACCTTCAGAACGAAGGTGAACGCGTACTGTTAGAAGCTATGGATGAACTAGAAGTGGCCTTTTCACACCCTCATTCCAGAAGGACGGACTGTAACCATATTTTCTTAAATTTTGTCCCGACGGTAATCATGGACCCGGCGAAAATCGAAGAGGCTGTTACTAGTATGGTCATGCGATACGGTCCAAGATTGTGGAAGTTGAGGGTTCTACAAGCGGAATTGAAGATGATTATTCGTTTAGCCCCGAATTCACCGACTCAGACAATAAGGTTATGTTTAGCCAACGATAGTGGCTACTATTTAGATATTAACATGTACACAGAAGTTGTAGATCCTGATACTGGAGTCGTAAGTGCAGAATTTTAAGTACCAATCTCGTAATTACGGTTGTTATTGTAGATTAAATTTAGAGCTTACGGTAAGAAACAAGGTCCTATGCACGGTCTTCCAATTTCAACCCCTTATCTCGCTAAGGACTATTTGCAACAAAAACGGTTCCAAGCTCAGTCGTCTGGTACCACCTATGTGTATGATTTTCCAGACATGTTTAGACAGATGGTAGATGCACAGTGGAAACAGTACATGAACGAACGCATCTCCGGTGGGTCATCAATCCAAAATAAAAAACAAAAAACTATTGTCCCTCGTTTTTCAGAACACATTCAGCTTCCTGATAAACTAATGGACTTCGTCGAGTTGATCCTCGACGAAAGCGAAACCCGACTAATCGAGCAGAAACGTGTCCCTGGCGAAAACAACGTAGGAATGGTGGCCTGGAGACTCACGTTGTACACTCCTGAGTACCCTGAAGGCAGAGACATCATTGTTATTGCCAACGATATAACATTCATGATTGGGTCGTTCGGACCTCGCGAAGACAAAGTTTACGGACTGGCGAGTGAAATTTCACGCTGTCTCAAAATACCAAGGGTAAGTCTTCATAATATCTATGTTTCCGGAAATATTGCATTCTTTGTCACAGATTTACATAGCTGCGAATAGTGGAGCCCGGATTGGTCTTGCCGAAGAAGTTAAAAGCATGTTTAAAATAGCGTGGGAAGACAATACCGAGCCAGATAAAGGGTTCAGGTACTTGTACCTGACACCCGAAGACTACGCCAAATTAGCGTCCCTGAACTCAGTCAGAGCGGTACTTATCGAAGATGAAGGGGAATCCCGATACAAACTGACTGACATCATTGGGAAAGACGATGATTTGGGTGTGGAAAATCTGAGATACGCTGGAATGATAGCTGGGGAGACTTCCCGAGCCTACGATGAAGTCGTCACGATTTCTATGGTCACTTGTAGAGCGATCGGTATTGGGTCCTACGTGGTCCGACTCGGTCAAAGGGTGATTCAAATCGAAAATTCACACATAATCCTGACTGGATATAGTGCCTTAAATAAAGTAAGCGTGTCCTCTTGACTAAATTTATACATACTTAAGCGGGTTTTGTGTAGTTGCTGGGACGCGAAGTCTACGCCTCAAATAACCAACTAGGAGGCATCCAAATCATGTACAATAACGGTGTTTCACACAAAGTTGATCAAGGTGACTTGGATGGTATAGCGACCATTTTGAAGTGGCTTTCGTATGTGGCAAAAGACAAAATTAGCCCGCTTCCGGTCATCAAACCTATCGACCCCATCGATCGTGAAGTTGAATTTATGCCAACCAAAACCCCCTATGACCCGAGGTGGATGTTGGAAGGCCGACAATCACCTAGTAGGTATTTTTACCAAAGTGTTGACGCGTTTTAAGAGAATTGTGTAATTTAGATGATCCGAAAATTTGGGAAAGTGGCTTTTTCGATAGAGGCTCCTGGTCGGAGATTATGAAGCCGTGGGCTCAGACTGTGGTGGCCGGGCGCGCACGGTTGGGTGGGATTCCTGTAGGAGTCATCGCTGTGGAAACTCGAACCGTTGAGTTGAACCTGCCTGCGGATCCTGCTAACCTGGATTCGGAAGCTAAGGTAATAACCTGACTTAAGTAAATAGTTGACTAATATTAGTAGGTCTTACTTAAATGCGAATTTAATTTTTCAAATCGGGACACCACAGTACACATCTAGAGTAAACAATCGTAAAGTAAATTCATTCCATAGCTATGTTCTAAAACTAGAAACGAGTTAATACCTGACTTAATATCGCTTTCTTTTCCAGACGATATCTCAAGCTGGCATGGTGTGGTTCCCCGACTCCGCTTACAAAACAGCCCAAGCAATCCAAGACTTCTCCCGGGAAGACCTCCCCCTTTTAATCTTCGCCAACTGGCGTGGTTTCAGCGGCGGTATGAAAGACATGTACGAACAAATCATGAAATTCGGTGCCTACATTGTTGACGGTTTGCGTCAGTACAAACAACCAATCATCATTTATATTCCACCTAATGGAGAATTGAGAGGAGGTGCTTGGGCAGTCGTAGATCCTACAATCAATGCAAGGTATATGGAGATGTACGCTGATCCAGAGGCAAGAGGTGGTGTTCTGGAACCCGAAGGAATTGTCGAAATTAAATTCAAAAAGAGGGATCTGCTCAAAACCATGCACAGACTTGATCCTATTCTCAAAGACTTGGACGAAAAGTTGAATAAAATTAATCAAACCAGGCCGACTGGGGAAAGGACGTCTAGTATATCGCAAACGGTTGAACAGAAAAAGCCACCAGAAGTGATCGAATTGGAAGCAAAAATTGCAGAAAGAGAGAATTTGTTGTTGCCAATGTACCATCAAGTGTCTGTTCATTTTGCGGATCTGCACGACACACCGGAAAGAATGTTGGAGAAAGGAACGATCCATGTAAGTCCATGTGGTAGTTTTAAAGAATGTTGGTAACTTTTTTGTACAGGACATTGTACCATGGCGCAAATCGCGGTCGATTTTGTACTGGAGGTTGAAAAGGCTTCTGCTTCAAGATAAGGTAGTAACGGCATTGTTGGAGGCACAACCTCTGTTGCAAGGAGGGCAAGGCGAAGCCATGTTAAGAAGGTGGTTCATAGAAGATAAAGGTTCAACAGAGGTAAAATTAAATTAGTTTTTGATACTAGAAATACAACATTAATGGGTTTTTATTTGTAGGGTTATAAGTGGGACGACAATCAGACTGTAGTGCACTGGATTGAGGATCAGTTGCAAAAGCCAACAACTCAGTCAATAATCAACCACAATTTGTATTGTGTGAAGAAGGATACTATAATAAATCAAATTAATTCTTCACTGGAGGTAAATTTTTAACTTCATTTTAAAATGGTCTACATACATAGGGTGTGTTACAGGAATGTCCAGATGTGGCTTTAGATGCGGTAGTACAGATTATACAAAAATTGTCCGATAATCAAAAAGCTGAAGTGATTAGGACTCTCTCGCAATTGGGATCTCTAGAAAATATTGACTAGCAGTATCAAAGCAATTGAAATATTTTTAGCGCATTTTGTATATTTTAGAAAAGTTTTCTAAAACTAAAAGTGATCTATTTTTACAAAGAAACAGAAAAGGTAGAGACGTTAGTGATAAGACTTATTTTTAGTTGAAGTTGTATATAGGTTTATATGCTTTATTAATGTAAAATTGTTGTATTTATTTTTTCCGTTTGGAAAACGCTAAGTGTCTAGGATTACTTGTTAATTGTTAATAATTTTATTTTGCAATTTAGGACATGGTCCAAACTTTGTTATGAAATAAATATTTTCGATTACTGGGTTGTATCATATACTTTGTTGCGTTATGAAGCACAAAGAAAGTCATTCAGAGAGATTGTCTAACAAAATCTACAACAGATGAAAGAAAGTAGACAAATATAAAAGGGGAATCTACGCCTAAGGTAAATAATTTTATCAAAGTGAGACAAAATTTATCGATGCCTCTGATCAAGGCGATCGAGCTCTTGCAGTTTTCGACCTTACGGCACGGGTTAAGTTAAGAACAAATAAGAAAACATCTTATTTACACGTCAACTCAAGTTACTGGTTAAATCAAAATTAATTCATCAAGATTATATCGTGAACCAGATTCCCACATTACATAAACACAACGAGTACATACGTATTAAATCCCGTCGGCACCAAGGTCCTTGTGAGAGGAATGTCTGAGAATAAATGTTCAACCTTCAAGTTGTAGAACACAAATGATAACATAAAATATTCCTTCCCGTGTCGAGTCCACGATGATATTGAATAAACTGATAATAATTTTCAAAGTTCTGGCTCTCAAAATGGCTCAATGTTTAAATTTAAAAAAGAGAAAGCCTAACTAAAGTAACTGGATGGTAATACTCAAGGTATTCCGATGCTATGGCAACAAATTATGGCAGTCGAACAAGAACAAGCTGAGTGAAAACATTACACAGCGTGGGGGCGCATAGCGACAGCGCAGCGGCGCGAAGGGCTTCTCCTCGTGAAGGTCTATTTGTCCCAACCCTAGCCACATTCATGGAGCCTAATTTCATCCTCGCAAGGACGCAGCCAACTGCAGCAAAATTCTTTTAATTTTGGCAAAATTTTAAGAAGTGCATAAATACAGTGTGTCAGACGAAGACAGAAACAGTTTTTCATAAAAAATTGTAATTACAAGAAACGAAACACGCAAAATTTAACTATGCCATACTCGATCAAAAATTTCAAACAATTCAATAATTTACATGACGTCATATCGTCATATATACATCATTCAAATTACTGCTTAAAAAAAAACCTGTTCACAGCTTAAAACAAAGCACATAAGAAATAAACACAGTGTGATAACCCAAACTTCCCGCCTCTAAATTGACCTTGAAAAAGTTTGAAAGGCCCGCGAAAAATTCAAAAATTCAAAATTTGACCGTTTAACAAATAGGAACCTACGTTGTGTTTTTTTTTTGTTTTTGAAAAATGGCGGGAAGACGTTCTTTCATACAAGTGAGCATATACTGCATGTGAGTTGAGAGCGCAAGAAATAATAGACAAAATTAGGGAGCTCGAAATCCTTCCTTGGGAGGAAAAGAAACGAAGAGCGAAAGGGACTCACCTTGTCCTTCTGGCTACTCCGCAGGGTCAAGGCGTCATCGGTCTTCATTCCCAAAAACCCCCTGGGGTTTTATTCACCGAAATATTACATTTCAAACACCTTAAGATATATGAAAGAAAACACTCGCGAATTGACAGACATACACATATGAAAAACGAACAAACGCAAAATCTTATACATCTGTTTGGAATCAATGCAAATATTTGAATATCACAAATTTAATAAAACAAAGCAAAAACTGAATCAAGTAACTGGATACATATACACAAGTTATTACGGGCGTGTGGCGGCTGATTTTTAAAGCTACGGCAGTTAACAGGAGCACAACAAAAGGTGTTGTAACACAAGCGGAGTTTGGGGCTACCGGTCTGGAGCTGTTCTCCCCCCCACGACGATCTATCGCAAAGCCTACCCCACACGCATATCTCCATTACGAACGTGCCCTGCGAAACTAGGCCATTACGGTCGTCCGACCCGTAAGAGATCTCGACTACTGGTCCAAGTCGAGAAATTTACAACATCGGCGGCCGCCCCTGAATCTATCCAAACCTGTCGGCTTCTACAGGTGACACGATAAATCTCGCCAGCTCGACTAGGAACCGAACTTCGCTTCTGCCACGTTTTCTGTGTCATTTAACCTCAATTCCATTTTCAAATATTCAGTCTCTTATAACTTTGATATTACCAACAACTGAACGAGTGTTAAAGTTTCAAAGAGCAATAAACAACAGTTAAATTCGCCATACAATCTTGTGAAATTTTAAACAACAAATAATTCTTATATGAAATTAAAGATGGGACATTAAATAATTTATATGATAGAAACATTCATCAACAAAGTATTTACAAAACAAAACTTAGCAAGGATTTATGAAACAAGAGATCTGGTGTGAAATGAATTTGTACAAATAGAAATATTCTGTGAGGTTAAAACTGTAGAACATGAAATTTACGTTCAATTAAAATTAAACAACAAAGGAAAATTACTGGGGTTAAAATTGTGAGATTAAAGAAACATTGTATGAGGCGAAAATTTGCAGAGTTAACAAAATTTACATGAGATTAATATTTGCCACACTTTATCAACGATTCAAACAAAGAGTTTACATTATGCCAAATTATATCATGATCATTATGATTGGTTACTTCAAAAATAATTTACTTTGAGAGTTTAAAATACCGCGAACTGGTTACCCAAATAAAACACATAATAAACAAACACAAAAATATCCAATCATCGCTCCGAGAGAAAAAGCGTCTCGGTGATGTAAGTTTTAAAATCGTTGCGAGGAAAAATCGTCTCGGTGATGTAAATTTTAAAATCGTTGCGAGGAAAAAGTGTCTCGGTGATGTTATTAATCTCTAGCGTCGCGAGAACGGACCTCTATCAATCTGTAGCGTTGTGAAGGCATGCCTCGATTAGTTTATCAATCTGTAGCGTTGTGATGGCATGCCTCGATGAATTAATCAATCCGTGGCGTTGTGAGGCATGCCCCGATGAATTAATCATGATAACGATGATAACCACCTCAGGGAAGAAAATATCATAATCCCCGCCATTTCGCAGTATAATGAAATTGTTTAACTGCCGTAAATGAACTATTAGCAATCTTGTGTGAAGAATTAAGAAGTGTTATAATGTAATACTTACGTATATGCATCCAGAAGCTTATTCGTAATTAAACAATAAGGTGTTTTCCCGACTAATTAGTGAATTTCATGAAATCTTCTAGCAAGTGGTTTATTTACAATATAAATTGCTAAACTATGTTTGCAGTAGTTGACTATTAAGAAAAACTAACTTAATTGGTGAATTTACAAACAATGGAACAAATTTACAGCATGTGTTTCGCGAGACAGACAGGGAGTCTGCATTTTCCGATTAAAAGGCCGCAAGAATTAACTGCGCGGGTTGGGGACAACTGTGTCATTATGAAAGTTACGATTGATTGTCGTTAAACAAAGGCTTCCTCCCATTTTATTTACTACAAAACCAACTAAGTTAAACCTAGTGCTTACTACGTGGTTACACTCACACAAGCACATTCAGAATGATCCTACGCCATGCAGCTTCTCTACCAACCCTCTAACCAGTGGCGGAACTAGCATGAAATTCTAGGGTGGGCCAACGGTTGGGCCCTCAAGATCTTAATTGGGCACACATTGCAATGTTATATGCATAACCGCATAGAAGTGACTTACCCCTAATGAAGTAATATTCGACGATTGTTGTGAGCAGCATCGAATTCTTTAACAATATCTTCGATGTTTAAAGATTTTGCCACGGAAGATTCGACGTTGGTCACAGCAAGATGAATTAGTCTTTCATTGGTCATAGAATTACGCACACATGTTTTTAAACGTTTTAAAGTGGAAAAAGTACGTTCACATGCAGTACTGGATACTGGAATTGTAGCACTAATAACCGCTAGTTAGTAAGTTTCAATAAATGCAATTTTATAAATTTTTAACATGTCTAAAAGGTCCATTATTGTCGTGATTTTCACGTTTTTTTCATTTTCATACCTTGTCAACGTTGTTGGCCGTATCATAAGTTCTGATTTCAACAAATCCAAATTACTTTGATAAAAAGTGGCTAAAGGAGTTAAGGCGTCAAAATTTAAAAATAAAGCATTGCTAGGATGCAAAGCTGCAACATCATCTGTGGGCACCGGCTTCATTGGCGGGGACTAAAAAAAATATTTTCGAGATTTTTTTACAAAACAAGTTAAAAATTTACACCGCTATTCCTAGAAAAATTGAGGTGGGCACTAGGGTGGGCCGCAAAATTTTTGGTTGGGCCATGGCCCACCCTGGCCCCCCCTCAGTTCCGCCACTGCCTCTAACCCTGTAACTGAAATCTCCCTAGCGCTACGTGCTGCCATCTAACTCAATAATCATGCAAACTAATCCCTAAGCGCTACGTGCATTAAACCCGACATGCATATTTGGTTGCCTATGTTTAACGATTTCCTTTTTGTGATTGAATTTTTTTTTTTCAAATTCAAATTATTCAAGTGTGATTTCGCGCCGCTGTTAATTAATTTCAGCGCGAAAACTTTGATTTAACTTCGGTCACCACAACAGGCACAAATTAAATATCGTTAAAACCAAAATAACCATTCGAGGATGAATAAGTTGTAAGAAATGATTAAACCTGTAAGAAAAATAAAATGTTAAAGATGTGAGAAAATTGTTAAAGCCCTCTCGGTTTCGAGTCCACGATGATATTAATTTAACTGATGAAAATTTTCCAGGTCAATTCAAAATGGATGGACGTCGGCATCGTTCTGCTCAGAAAATGCGTAATACCTTTTTGGTTTTGTCCTTTTTGATATTGCAGGCATCCTTACATTGGATAACACTCTGGATACTACGTGACAATTTAAATTTTAAACGTCAAAGTAACAATAAAGCATAGACTGTCTCCAACGTTGATAAATTCGCCAAAATTTCACAATATTTCAAATTAGAAAATTGTTAATCAACTGGTCTCACATATTTTTGTTTTAAGCAATTGCCTTTTTTATGAAATCACAAATAATATTATTTCTACATACCAAAATTAATTTAACATATATTTAAACTACCACTGCTACAGAACCCCTACACACCAAACCGAAGGTTTAAATTCCACTACGAGTGGAAACGAATGGGTCATTGAATTTAATTTTTAAATTTGGACACCACAAG